ATGTAGAAGCACTCAGGACAGATTTAGTCTGAACAGACACAAACATGTGGCAGAACAAAGAGAATGGCACTTATTCTAAGTGAGAGGAGTCACAAGGGAGGAAAAACCAGGCGGATTTAACAAGCGTCAACTGACGTTTCCCAGGTTGTTTGCTCAGGAATCCGACTCTGAGTCGGTAAAGGAGACTCTTCCTGCATCCAGACGCTTCAGGGAGGAAATGCAAACGCCTAAATGTCACCTAAAGATGGCCAACAAGAAGCTTTTCTGGAGGAAGGAAACAGGAGGAAAGCCAGAAGTGGACTTAACACCAGCTGATGAGTTTTAATACACCAAAAAAGCAAAAGCAAGGCTACAAATAACCATCAGTACAGCAAAAAAGCAAAACTAATGCTTAAAATGACCAAAGAATACACCAAAAAAGCAAAAACAATGCTAAGAATTACCATAAATACAACGGAAAAAGCCAAAATAGAGCTAAAAAGACCAGAACAAAGCAAAAAAAGCAAAAAATGATCCAAAAATTGAGCTACAAATGAAGAAAAACACCCAAAAAAAACTAAAATAGAGCTAAAAAGACCATCTATCTATCCATACATTTATCAATTTATCTATTTTTTATCTATCTATCTATCTATCTATCTATCTATCTATCTATCTATCTATCCATCCATCTATCTAGAACAGACCTAACCTGATCCCTCGTGTTTGGCTGTTTTCCAGAGACTGAACCAACCAGCTTCTAAAAGCTGATGAACTTTAGTTTGCCCTCAATATAAAAGGGTTTTCCTACCGGGGGGGGGGGTGTAAACCTGTTAGTTAGCGAAGGAATGTCCAAGTGTTTGCATCCGACTAATCGTTAACTTTAAGGAACAAAGTCTGCTTCTGTCTTTTGGGGGAAAAAGTCTGAAAACGGCTCCAAACGGCTCAAAGAACAGAGAATAAAGAGCTCTGATCAGCTCAGATTCATGAGGAGTGTTTAGTTTCCTCCTCATCCCAACATATATTCTGTTTAAAACTTAAAAATCAATAAAGCGGCATGAAAAAATATCTGTTTTCTTAAGAAACTAGCTGCTTTTTCTCTTATTTTAAGTCCCATTCGAGTAGTTGAAGTTCAATTATCAACATTTAACGAGTCAAAATGAGATTATAGCTTCAATTATAAAGAACAAGTAGCTCAAAATGAGTAAAACCATAAAAACCACATTAGAAAAAAGATCCAATTGGAGTCAAAAGGAAGAGGATCGATGCATGAAA